GGTGCCTTGTCAATCATGGAGAGATGGTGGTCAATCCATTTGATCCAAGGAAAGCCCTCTCAACCAGCAGAGGAAAGACTGGCTGCATTCCTGTGGCCAGCCTCCAGCTACTGACAGCCAAAGAAAGAAAGCACTTATTAGCATATTGTAAACAGCATTTTTGGAACTGGGTGAGATTATTGATCCTTTCTTTACTATTTTACAACTGGATTTCCTGGAAAATGCTCCCAAGAAGTTAAAAACCTCCAAACACAAGAAGGAAGGGGATTGTAGCCCCACCCTTCCAGGGGAATGGAAGCGGCATTTTAATTTTTTATGGGGACAGAAATATTTAACACTGAAGTAGAAGTAATATAAATCTGTAGCTTTGACAAATTTGAGAACTGAGAAAATTGTTAAGATTTCCTCTTTGAAAGAATACTGGGGTGAAATACAAGAAACCAACCTTCTGTTTTAAGAGTCGGAAAATGGATATTGAATGACATCTAGGGTGGATTAGAGTATAGCACCATAGCTACAATGACTGATGCAAACCTGGCAAGAAGCCTAGAAATAGATAACAACCTAGCTTCTTTGTTGTTTGATGACTTTTAACTCAACAGAAAACAGCTGGCAACAGAGAAAATATTTTGGCATGCTTACTACAATGTGAGAACTCAATTGTTTTGAAACATGTTGACCTTCTTGATTATAAATATGCACTGAGCTCTGACTTTTAATCCTAAGAACTATTTGGAGAGAAAGAAAAATTTGACTTCTGGCTATATTTGTCTGGGGGAGGTTTTTGGATTGTTCTTAGGATGGTTGAAAATTTTGAATACTTTGAACATTTTGGATTGCAAATTTCTGGATGCCTGAGCAGAAGGACTATTACAAAATATTGCCTTCAGTGGTGGACTTATATCTTGGAAGCTATTGGATTATAAAGGCTACATATAAAGACCAGAAGAAGTAGATGAGACTTTGTTCTATGGACATTAAGATTGGTGGTATTAGACAAGACTAGCACTTGGGGATCACAACAGTTCTGACAGAATAACTGGAGGGAGGAAATAAAATGGATCCTTTATATCTAGCCAAAAGTGGTAGGAAAACATACTTAGTACTCCCATCTGAAACCCCCAGCCAGGTTTACCAGGAATCTGCAGGAGTGATGCCTCAAGAAGAAGTAAACATTTTCCAGAAGGAAATACATTCTATATTACAATTAATTCAGGAGACAATTATTTCACATAAAGAAGATGCAACAAGAAACTATAATGAGATTAAAAACAATTTTGATAATATAAATGAGCAAATCTCTAACTTAAACTTACAACTAGAGAGTTCCCAGAAAACGACTACAAAGAAAGAACAAATAAGGCTTCCAGTTTTTGCATCTGCAGCGCATGGCCGTGCCATGGTTAATTTCTTCCTGCTTGGGGAACCCTAGATGGGTCCGAAGTTACCCCGGAGAGGTGACTGTGAAGGAGGGGCGCCCCATCAATCATGAAGCAATGGCAATCACTTCGTTTGATGTCGGGAAAGCCCTCCAAAAGGCTAGCATGAGATCAGCGTCTAGCCCAAGCTGCTTGCAGCCAAAGTCCCAGAGCATGAACTTAAACATCGGTGAACAGTGTGCTTGGAATTGATGAGAGTACTGATCTTCTTTTTTCTACCTGCTATTTAAATCCTTGAAAAGATCCCCAAAGCAAGAAAATCTCCAGAAGTGAAGGGAGGGGATTATATCCCCATTCCCTTACAGACAGAAGTAGCGAATTAACATAAAAGATTGAAAAAGATATACTAAAATTTGTTAAAATATTTCAGTCTGGACAAATCTAGGAACTAAAAAAACTGTCAAGATTATACCCTAAAAAAATTCTGATGGAATTATAAAAATATATAACAAAAATAACTTTTGATGGAAAGAAAAACTGAAAAAAGAAATAACTGCTGACAACTAGTGGAGAATCAAAGAATAAGGACTCAGAAATTGGCAGAATGCCCAGAAACAAAGAAAAAGTTGTTCCTTTGAATTGCAAATAATCTTGAAGACAGCTGGGAACAAAGGAAGAGTCAGCTATAAGATTAAAAAGTGTTTGAAAGAAAAAAAAACATCTGGACTGTTGCTTAAACCTAAGAGCTGTTTATGGAAAAAAAAACTTTGGCTTTTTGGCTAATCTTTTAGAGGAGAATTTGCAGGATTTAAAGTGGCTTAATATACTAAATGTGTAATTTTGACTGACTGATTAAATTGACTTTGAATTAAAACATTGATGAAAGATTATTTGAAGGGGGGAGACAACATGGATATCACATACGTATCAAAAAATGACAGGATGCCACATTCAATATTTTCTCCTGAAGGAGCTAGCCTGGAAAATCAAGGGCCTCCAGAAGCAATACTTCAAGGCAAGATAAATACTTTCCCAGAGGAAATATATGTAATGTTAGGACAAATACAAATGATAATAGATTCAAACCATGACAAAATTCGAAACAACTTTGAAGATTTAAATAAGCATATTTCCAATCTAAATCTAGAATTAAAAAATACCCAGGAAATAACAACAAAGGAGCAAACAAATCAGACAGCACAATACAAATTAGAAGAGTATGATCAAATTGATGAAATAACAAAGGAAAAGAATTACAATTTAACACAAACAGGAAAAAATCTACAAGGTTCTGATATAACAAGAAAAATAGAATTATTAGGAGAACTATTAAAGTTTGGGGGACAGAAAGAATTTATCTTACTTACTTCATCTTTTGTATTCCAAATAACATTTATAAAAATACAGCAACTGTTGGGTAAGCGGATTACATCAACTTGGAAAATTACTTGGCAAAAGAAGATCAGAGGCAAATACAAGAGATTTGACTTGCCCTACCAGATGGACTATTACCTGAATAAACAATTGTTTGAATATGGCTAAAAGAACAGAGAAGTTCGAACATAAAGGGGCCTTATAACAAGAAGGATAATGAGATTTAAGTAATATAGTATGTTTTACAATATATTAAATGTTAAAATAGTAGGTTGATGTAACTTTTATTAATATATAAGTAAAATATAAACTGATTAAAAAGGATGTTATATCTAGATACTATAAGACAGATAAAAAGTATAGTATTTTCATAATGCATGACATAAAATATTGGGATGATGTACCTAAATGGGAAAATTTAGACAGTGAGATGACTAACATGAAGAAATTATGACTGATAAGAATTGGATTGAATATAAGGGAATCTAAGCGAACAAAAATTATAAAAATAGGATGTATGCTGAACTAATGAGATTATGGTTATGAGACTAATATAAGCTGAAAAAAATGTTATATATAGAGATTATTATTATTTGTATAAGTATATAAAATGCCTATACCTATTCATTTATATATTGAAAATATTAAGAATTATATTTTGGTTAAGGTTGAAGAAGGAAAATACAAATGGGAGAAGGGAAGATCAAAGAAATCTATTATTAATTGATATATTAATTATGGAATTATCAAATTTAATCATTACTGACTGTTAATTAATTATTACTGTCCTTTTTTTTCTTGTTAAAATATAAACCAAGACAACATGCTGTACACCAGGCACTGGAGATGGTTATAGTTAAAAACCAATAAAATATCTATTAAAAAAAGAAAGAACAAATAAGTCAGAAAACAAAAGATGAATCAAAAGAAATTGATCCAAAGATGCACAATATAAAAGAAGGGAAACATAAATTGGCACAGACAAATAAAAATCTGACTTAGCTACAACAATGGAAATGGAAAAGGCACCCTATTTTTTAGGTTTTCAAAATATACCTGAGGATAAGGAAAAAGATTTTAAAAAATGGATTATAAAGCTGTTAGGGGAAATGCCAGAAATTGGGAGACAAAAAATGAAAAGAGAAATTGAGGGGAAAGGAAAGTGGGAGTTATTTAATGAATACAACTGGGCGGAATTCCCCCTCAAAAATACCCTACTTAAATTGATTTTCCCATTCCAAGCAATATTCACAAAAACAGAGGAATATTTTTTTGTGATTTAATTACTTTGGCCTGGAAAACCAATTGGCAAAGGAAAAAAGTTAGAGTTAGACTCAAAAAACAGAAGATCTGACGTACCAGATGGGATATTATATGATCCAATATTTGTTTGAATAGAGTCAAAAAATAGATAACCCATAGATATAAATAGATTTATATAATAAGAAAGATATGATTTATAATTAGAATAGCATCTTCTTTTTTATATGGGAATTATAAAAACACTAGGATGGCTTGTATAAATGAAATTTTCAGCTACACAAATATAACTAATTTTGAGAAAATCATAACACAAAGATATTTTGAATACTAATGGGAAATCAAACTTAAATAAAAGCTTGACAAACAGGACATTGATTTAATAAGGAGACTTTAATTGCAAATACAGTTCAAATATAAAGTGGTTAGAAAAGAGATTATAAATTACCATTTTTATTTGTATAACAGTAGAAAAATTTGAAGAGGATGTCTATATCTAATTTTGTATGCATCAATAGTAGTAAGAACTGTATTTGTTCAATGTTGGAAAAATAAAAATGCTATGGGAAGAAGAGAGCATTAGGGGGGAAAAACAATGTAGCATTGACCAGATTTATATTGAAGAATTTAAGATGCAACACTGAGTAACAAATGTACCCAGATATCATGTTGTTTACTAAGCACTTATGATTTGTAATAATAGAAAATGAATAAAAACACTTATTTAAAAAAGTATTTAAATATGACAACAGATTTCAAAGACATTAGAAAGAATTCAAGAATGGTAAAATCAATTTCATTCATGAACAAGAATGATTTTTTTGCTATTTCAAACAAAGGATTTGAAATTGGTATCTCCTAGAATTATTTGCAACAGCTATTTTACTTCAAAGAACATAAATGTCTACCTCCTTGGTTTATTGGGATTTGTTCCTCTCATGTGAAGGGCATATTTTATATACTCAGTGAAGGGACTATTGTACTTACAATAATCAGCAAAATGAAGTAAATGAAGTTGTAGAATGAATGCGCATCCATCACATAATACATAATCTCCACCCATCCTTCCAGAGTGATTACCTGAAAGAAGAGAGAGGGAATAGGAAATATTTCAGTAGCTACAAGGAGATAGAATATCCAGTTTTTTTGTAAGACATCTTAGGGAAATCCTGACAAAAGGAAAAAATAAAATCCTTATGGATTACTAAAGCAACTTTCCCTAGCCTGATGCTCTCAAATTATATTTCATAACATGTTAAGACAAGATATATGACTTATACTCCAGAGCTTCATATAGTGTTCCAAAACATTGGATGTGACCAATGTGTCACAAAACTTATCACAACATTTTAAATATCATTAGGAATAATCATATTAGCTTCCTTAATTTAATATCTTCTTAATTCTAATTTAGTTTAACTTAGTTTTCTCATTTAATTATATTTGATTTTAAATCTTTAAATTAAAATTAATAGGTTCTGCCTATTGTCTGTCTAAAGACAAAATGTAGCTCCCTTTGCCAAAAGGTTATGCATCACTGACTTAGAGACACAGGACTGTTTCTCTGAAATAAACCACAGTTCTCAAAATCAGCTACTTGAAACAGACACTGCCAGAATTCAAGTAAAATTAAGCAGACAGGTCCATTTCTGTTCTTTGCCACAGGAAACCAAATACCTCGGTTAGACCTGGGTAGATCATTCTTGGAAAGGTGTTTTGGGGACCTCATCTTTAGAATGAGTAGAAATTTTAGATAACCTGATTCAGATTACCTGGAATATAACAATCCATGCATAGCCAATATTATCAAAGTTGATTGCCCCTTTGTGTGGATTGGCATTGCCTGTACGACACTCATTGTAATACTGGTTCCAGTTAACGCACATGCCACTGACGTTGAACTCCTGCCTGACTGAAGTATAGTAGAAGTAGTCATCCTTGTCCAAGCAGCATACATGGCCCCGTTCTTTGAGTGGGGGTATCTCTTGACAGCCCATGATACCATTATCGCCTGACAGTGAACAGATGAAGGGCATTTCATCCTCCTCCTCAGGTTGATAATAGGGAGGAAGAGTGATGTTACCTTGGCTGAGAGAACACATGAACAAAATTGTTATGGCAAATATTATAGTTAATAATACATATGTAGACTGGACATAATGGTGAAAAATTACAAAATATAAAGCCCTGCAAATAGAAGTAGAATAACTGTGGCAAAAGAAAGCAAAGATAGTACCAATAATAATAAGTACCATGGGTGCAATTTCAAAACATCTGGAGACCACTTGAACACTATCAGCATTGACAAAATCACTGTCAGTCAATTGCAAAAGACAGTTTTACCTGAAACAGCTTACATTCTATGATAATACTTTTAATATTCTTAAATAACAATAACTCCTTATCCTAGATTCTTGGGAAGGACTCAAAAAGTGGACAAAAAAGCCATATCCAACCCCAAATATCTGGCTGACTATAAGACAAATATTAAAAATCTAGTACAGCAGAGGATTAATAATGTTATCTATTCAGAGATATTGGCTAGAATTAGAAATATTAACAAGAACAAGAGTAAAATGCTTATTACATTGATTACAAGATCCAGTTTAATATCTAGTTCCACAGTTGTATGTTTGTTTGTGACAGGGCCCCCATAGTACACTAAATCTGTAATTTTTTACTATGTCAATACTTGCTCTCCAAAGTAGAAGTAGAAAGTCTTCTCTGAGTACTAAAACCAGAGTGTAAAGTAATTTTATTACTCTATTTTTGTCAGTTCTACCATTAGTTTCATTGTACATTAGGATTAAAAGAAGGTTCTTTCTTCATGTACCCAGCTCAATGTATTTAAATGATTCCTTGAAATCAGGAATCTTGGGCAGGTATTCAAACAATGAATAAATGAAGGATTTCCTGTTCTTGAGAAAAGTTCAGAAAATTTGGGAATTGAAGATATGGGAAATCTGGAAATGGCACTAGCATGGCACAGCTCCCTCTATGTCAGTGGTTCTCAACCTTTTTAATGCTGCGACCCCCAACCGGTCGTAAGTCGAGGACTACCCAACCGGTCATAAGTCGAGGACTACCCAACCAGTCATAAGTTGAGGATTTCCCCTGCCCGGGAGTGCTGCGCATGCGTGGTGCCGCCCCCTGCGCCGGCCGAGGCGTAGCTGGCAAGTGGCAGAGATGGCGCAGGCCGACCACTGGCTGGGCCACCAGCTGGCCCAGCCCAAGGGAGGTAAGGCACCTGCCGGGCCCCACGTGCGCCAGCAACCCTCCCTGCACCCGCCGGCCTCCCACCTCCCACCCTTGGCCCTCTTTTACTTACATTTTTAGTAGTTGCTCAGCAGGGAGGGGTGGAAACTTCCAGACAGCTTGCCTTCACTGCAGACAACTTGCAGCACCGTTTGCAGAAAGGGACTTTTGGCAGGCTCAACAGGGCAGAGACAGCCTGGACAATTCCTATTGGCTTTTGAAAGCCAATAGAATTAGACTATTCAAGAGAGTCTATTCTACTGGCTTTCAAAAGCCAATAGAATAAAAGGGAATAGCACAGCTAAGGAAAAGGGGGAAAAAATGGTGGACTGCGTTGTTTAGCGACCCCCGTGAAATGGTCGTTCGACCTCAAATGGGGTCCCGACCCACAGGTTGAGAACCACTGCTCTATGTGTTTCAGCCTGAACTCTAGAATAGCACTAGTTTAAAGTTCTTATTTGGAGGAGAAATGCTAACTACTATTGGTTTGTTCAGAAGTCATAGGAAAGTATGATATGTGTGGGGAAAAATGCACACGCAGCAAACTGCCGTGCTTTCCCCCCACAAACCTCATAACCTTTTGATACCCTTTGTCCCAGTGAAGCAGCCAGAAGGTCATACCCTTTTGACTTAATGCCTCACCTACCTAAACAGAAAATATGCTTAGTTCCTTCTCCTATCTCTTCCTGTCTTTGTTAGTTCCTTCTGCTTTCATCTCCCTGTATTTGTTCTTACCTGGTCTTTGACCATGTAATGTTTTACTAGAAAATAGTTGCTTACATGAAGACATTTGTCAGCATCTAATGGTTAAGCTGGTGTATGTAACAAGTATATAAGAAGCAATAAACTCAGAATTTGTCAAGCTGTGTCCTGTAGCTTCAAATCTCTGCTCAAGACATGCCTGTGTCTTTTTCTTAGCATCTTACAATATGGACAAGGAAACAGAAAGTTTTGTGGCTCATTCAAATTGACCTGGATCAATAGTTTAGAAGATTATCTGAAGTGATTATAACTCAAGGAAAATCCAATTTCTATACACAGGGGAAGAGATATTGAAAAAGGCCAAGGAAAGAGCATGTTTTTATTCATTTTTTCCTTAAGAGAAAGGCTTGTGTCACAGTTAGAACTAAAATAGACAGCAGATGCTTCCTAGAGCAAATGGGTAATCTGGTACCATGCCAGTATATGGAATCATTAAGCATACTTATTTCTCAACATGTGATAGCAATTCTTCCCACAATATTGAATCCAAACTTAAAATAGCAGAAGTAAGCTCAGAAAAATAAAAATCTACAAAAATTTTAAAAAGAATGAATTATCTAAAAATAATGGAGCACAATTTTAAACCATGAGTTTACCCATTTTATATATGCTCTTTTACTCATGATATTGCTTCAGATGTATACTACAATGTTTTAAAATGTAATGTGAATAAAACAAGTACCTGTTTGACTCTTTGTAAGGCAGAAAAAACAGAAAATGTATTAAAACTGCTAAAAATGCTTTATAAATATGTACCATAGATGTACCGTATATGCCGGCATATAAGACGACTTCCAGAAGTGCTAAATCCGGCGCCAAAGACGGGGGTCGTCTTATACGCCGAGTCGTCTTATACGCCGGAAATACTGGACGTTCCCGGCGTATAAGATGACGTTCTAGGAATGCGGCTCGGCGATAAAGACGGGGGTCATCTTATACGTCGGGTCACCTAATACGCCGGCATATACGGTATATTCATTAGAAAGTCCATATTGTTGCAGTTCTTGATATGAAATGAATCATAACATGAAATGGCCTTGGGTTAAAGCAAAAATTTTGAACTACATATTTGTAACATAGGATGGATTTCTACCACTGTGTAAATTTAGAGAGAGAGGAAGAGTTAAGAATCTGCACATGCCAACATCTAGAAATCTAGACAGCCAAACAAAAAGGTTAGCATCATAGTTCTCCTTGAAGTTATCATCCAGATTCACATATCATCTGCTTCAATACTGGGGAAGAATGTAGGGAACCATATGAGAAGCTATAAAATCTGAAAGGGAGCAATGAGAGAAGATATAATTGTTTACTATGCAGTCTTATCTAACTCAACTCCCTTCAAATGTATTGTACAGTTTTTAGAACTGATAGATCATTCTGGATGAGGGTCATAGCAGTTAATTCTCCAATATATTGGAAGGGCAAATAATTCAGTTTTAAAATAATAATGATGATGATAATGATGATGATGATGATAATAATAATAATAATAATAATAATAATAATAATAATAATAGTTGGAATAATATTCAAATTTTAATAAATTATAATTGTTTGAATATGTAAGTATTTACTTGAAATTATGGATTCTTTTTCCCTGAAAAACAGAGACTAGCAATTCTTTGTCTGGATTTTCTGCATCAAGGAGTTGGACTAGATGATCCTCTCCAATACTTTAAACTTATGACAATCTTTGAATTTTCTTGTTGATGATATACATAATTATACAACAGTAATGTCAACATTCTCACAGGTTCCTTTCAAGAAGCAGATGGAACTTTTAGATGTAGTATACAAGAGTGAGGGACTTGGGGTCTGGGATTAGCTCAATATCATAGATAAAGAAAATAAATAAATGCGGAAGAACAGAGGCTTTACAAAGTTGAAAAGGAATGAGAGAGTCATTTCCTGAGCACTCACATTGTCAAGTTCTCATCCATGAAACAGCGGTTTCTCAGTAGACCGGCCCACAGCTGCACACCGATGATACCAAAGATGAAGAAGACAAAGAAGCAGAGAAGGAGAACATTTCCCAGCATGGGTAATGTGTCCAAGAGCAAATTCACCAATATTCGCATGCCTGAGAGAGAGAGAGGGACCAGGGCCAGGGAGAGAGGGATAGATCACCACACAGGAGTAAAGGTTGAAGGTGGAAAAAGAAAAGAAAATGGGAAACAAGGAAAACATGGTAGTAAGAATAGAAGACATAGAGAAAGGAAGATAACAATATAGAAAGAAATCTGGAGCTAAAAAAAGTGCAAGTCAACTAGAAAACTTACAATAGATATGCAGCTTTGAATTATGTAACAATAATACATTTAGTCTAATGCAGGGGTTCTCAACCTTGGCAACTTTAAGACTTGTGGACTTCAACTCCCAGAATTCCTCAGCCAGCTTTGAAGTCCACAAGTCTTAAAGTTGCCAAGGTTGAGAACCCCTGGTCTAATGGTTGATCCAGCCAGGTTGTCCATGTTGTATTTGTTCTTATAAACAGATTCTCATAAATATCTAAGATACAGGAGGCACTTCCCATTTTTAGTGTTTCAAGATTCAAAATGTTAAAGTAAACCAGAAATACCTGACATTTTTAAACTGAAATGCATTCCACATCATAGATATTGTTTGAATAAAGCTCCTGTTTATATATTTAGAGAAAAAAAAAACTCATGATCATACATTTTAGCACCTACCTGTTATTATGGTTGGATCCTGGTTAACTGAATATTATTCTCATCTTATACATGTATTCTTTAAGATTATCAAATTATAAAATTGAAATTGTTCAAATATGGATTGTGTTTCTCCCTAACTTTGTATAACTTTGCCAAGCTAAGAGGCTGACCAGTACATCAATGGTAAGAATGGTTTGTGCATTTTGCTAAATTAATCATAGTGCTTATGTATTCCACTGTACCTTGCATTTAAATAGTCCTTTTAACAAACAGTAACTCTTTTAATCCCTCATTTACTTTTCTATCTTTTTTGAGACATCTCATTCTATTGGATTGGCCCAGGGAATCTCATTTAACAAGATGTTGCATGTAGGGCAGTGTATAAACGACTAATTAGCTATTTATAACTAGTTCATTACATCAGTTGGCTTGGGAGGGGAAGAGAGAGGGAGAGATAAGATTAGGATTCTGTGACAATTCCCAAAAGCACCAGCTAATCCCCTTTTTATGCCCTCTGTCATACAATTAGTTACGTTATTTCGTGCTTTCCACTTTGTCTCATTTTCCTGTGTCATTGTTTTCCAGCAATTGGGAATAAAAAAATATCTGAGCTCAGAAAAATGCATGGAGTTGAGCTCCATGAAGAATTAAAGTATTCACAGATGAATATATATATATTTAGAGGCATGGATTTAATACTTATGAAAGCATTCTGAGTTTCAGTAGCTTCATTTCTTTGATGTCTAGATAATTCAAGCCATAACAAGAGAAGAAAACTCACATAATACCAGTGATGAGAGATGTCATTTATGTATCTAATCACTTAACATACTTAGCTCCAGGGACTCCAATTTTCATCAATAAGATATAAATGATGTAAAATCATTTTAACCATCGTATGTCTTATGCATTAAAAATCCCCTGATTTAGTTCTTTACAAGTATATGAATAATAAATGATGAAAAACAAAACCTTCCAGTCTTTCTTATCCATATAACAAGTGATATTTGGTCCTACAGGCAAGAGCTAAGTAAACAAAAGGTACAAAAGAAATAAGGTTGATTTCATGGGTTCTGAATCAACAACTTTTATTGAAGTATTATATGGCCAAGTACCCTAAATGAATGAGACAGTTGTGAATATTTAGTTCTAGTTAGTACTACATGAAGTCAGTGGCAAGAGAGATGAAATGGAGTAAGAGTTTCTATGAAAATGTTCTCCAACATGGTGCCATCCAGTTGTGTTTTACTACAGTTATTTTCATCATTCATGCTGGCTGTAAATCATGAAAATATTAATAAAACACAGATTAAGAGCATCGAGTTTGCCCTAGGGAATTTGTAAGAAATTTCATACCAAATAAAGATATATGGGGCAGAAGGTCCAATAATAATTTATCTGGGAAAGCCCCATGGAGAAACATTAGCTTTAGCCTCATGTACCTGAGACTGAACCTCACTAAAATAAGTGGGACATTTGTAGTAAACATGTCTAAGACTGCTCTTCAAAAAAAAAAAAAAAAAAAAAAAAAAACCTGCAATGCCTTTTTAGGATGATAAATAGGATGTCATATTTTAGGTTTAGTGCAATGATTTTATAATTTAAAAATTATAAAATATGAACTAATTCTGGGGGAAGGAAAAGCGTGTAACAAAATGTATTATCTGCTTAATGCTTCTGGATATCATTACATGCAGGCCAATGGAAAGCAAGAATTCTTAAGTATGAAATCTCCTCCAGTAAAATATATATAATTAAATTATTCCAAATATTTTCCTACTTGCAAACATCTATTAGTATATTTTAATAAGTAATTCCATGGGAAATATGCTTCTCACTCAATTTATCACAAGTTAACAATGAAAGGAAATGGGGTATAGTCAAGTAAAAATGACTAGAGACATTTAATGATATGGTAACGGGTAAAGTCTGGTGCAGAGGAGCTATAACCAACTAGTCAACTATTGGTTACTTGGACTGAAGTTTCATTTACTTCAAAGGGTTTACTTCTGGCTTCCTAATTTCAAAATGTAAAACACATTGAGCTACAGTCAGGTGAAATATACTAATTAGTTTTAAAAAGCTTGCAAAGAAATGACACTATCTGAATGATGCCATTTAAAGTGTGAAATAAGAACTTTATGGAAGAGAAAAGACACATCAACTCTTTGCTTGATTATATTCTTAATTCTCAGAAGTTCTTGAAAACAATTTGATACAAACAGTAATAAAATCTAGAAGTCTTATTATTACTTCATTCCCTTGCCAAAGAAAGATGGATCCATAGGTTTTTCCAGCACAGTGGTAGATGTTTTCTATTTTTTAAATTATTGGAACTTTCTGATTTGTAATTAAGATGGTGTCAATGCTGCAAATACTGTATATTATTGCTTTGACAATATGCAAAACTGTCTGGTAATTACTGGGTTAATACACAGCTTAGAGTGAGGGGGAGAAAAAGCCCGGGAAAGAAAGAGGAAGTAAACTTTTGACCTTCACACTAATTGGATAATGTGACTTGTGACTGCAAGACAAGGGAGGGGTTTAGCAAGAAAAGGTTGATGCCAGCGACGGGAAGTCAGATTCTGGCATCAACATGTCCATGATGGCGATCGGCAAAATTGTAGCTCTGTAATAAAGACTTTAGGAAACATGCCTGAAAGTTCTTTGAAGTGCTTCATTAGTCGGAACATCTGACAGATGGTATTCAAGGGAGAGCTTTTTTTAAAAAAGGTTCTGACTAATGAAACACTTCAAAGAACTTCCAGACATTGTTTATCCTAAAATCCTTTATTAACAGTGTAACAGATTCACAGCACATCATGGATGGATGCCAAGATCTGAAGTCTCCACCCCAGAGCAGTTATTTTTGCTAGCATTTTCCCTCCCTCTTTTGCTGTCATGAGTCACGTTCTCCAACCAGCCGGGGGGGGGGGCAAAGGTTCACTTCCTTCTGAAGCCCATGCAAATTGCTTTCTCTCTACATTCTTTCTCTCCCCCTTCCCTTCTCATCTGAGTTAACTCTAAAAGTGCCAGACAGTTCTGCATATTTTGTCAAAGCAAGAATATTCAGTATTAGCAGCGTTGACAGTTTCCTTCCTATACAAATCTAAATCTCTAGAAGAAAGAGATCATCCAGGAAAGCTACAACTTTATAAAAGTCCATTTTAAAAAGTTTATATAAATTCATTTTGAAAAAAAGTTCTTTGTTAGCAGGAATCCAGTTGTGACTATATAATATATAAAAAAGAACAGCCATCTAATAAATGACTAGTATCTATTTAAAATCCAACTCCTAGGGTTATCCCTGTCTTCTGGAATATAACATTAAAAAGCCATTACCTGTTTTCTGAGCCATCAAATTATTCAAGATTTGGGAGACTCATACAATATAGAGTTGCCATATGTGCGGGGAATTATGAGAATTCTCATCCAGTACTTGGAGAGGTTGCTTCTAGTCTTCTATATCAAAGCATACCTACTTGTGTAAACATGGAGAAATATATTCAACAGGTATACAACAAGTTCACAAATGCATAATAACATGCATAAGAAGAACTTAGGAAGATTCAAGTAGTTATCCCACTAATTCTTTCCAAATTATTGCAATATTATGTACAAAGTGATGCCATTTGATGAAATGCAAGTCTTGATTCCTGATCAATTTGTACTTATTATAAAGAATCACTGGAACAATCCAAATAGCAAAGATAGTCTATGGTCTCAGCCAGGTGTCAAGGAGGCATCATTAGTTTTGTTTTTATACCTCTGAAATCTCTGTAGTTTGTTTCAACATGTCATAGTAATAAAAAATGTTATTATGCAATAAAAACCAAGCAGCAGTGCTTTCTGCCATCCTCCCCCTCCAAAATAGTTTCAGCACATTCATTATGTTCAGCAACTTAATCAAATTTCACTTAAAATTTTGGTGGGTCATGGACATCATGGGTGTTCATATAAAAGAAGCAGCTCCCCTTCCAAAGCCACTCCATTACTAATATTTCAGTGCTAAATGAAGACCTGACTATTTTCCTAGGCTCTGTGGACCAGTGTCTTTTTATACAGTTTTATACAGTTTTATTTTGAATGTTTATATGATTTATTGTTTTTACTGATTGACATCTGATCTGATGCTGTCGATATACAATAGGTTAATTTTAGAAAATGAAAACAAATTAATATTTGCTACTGTATATCTGCTAATTAGTTTAGTTGGACAGAATGAACTTAATTTTCGTCTCTGCAGTTAGCAGCAGAGTGACAACTACAGCTGTCTTTCTTCTTCATACAATAACAGAACTTGAGATTAATGTGATAACAACTGAACGTTAGGGCACTCTGTTCTCTTAGTTGCTTTGGAGCAAATTCACAATTCACACATTACATTTGAAGCAATTTTCACATTTTC